TAAGTTAAAAAATTCACAATTTTAATTGCATGGTAAAAGAAATTTAAACATATTTAACATTTGTTTTATTATATTTTAGAGGAGAAAGATGGTATCAATTGTTCATCATCACCCTTTAATTCGAATATACAAGCAAATGGACTTGGTTGAAACGTTTTCTATTTCAATCATTTCGCAATTGAATATAACCATGGTGATGTGAGGAATGAAGGTTATATGCTCACCTTCACTGAATTTTACATCCTTATTTGCCAAAACACCACCTTCATTCCGTTGTTGGGGGATGTTGAAAATGGCTTTCCATTCCATCCGTTGGTGCCTTTTATAAGAACTCTTATAGAAGATCGGAGTACGCGCAAATTCATGATCGGTACATCTAAATTCTTTGATACTTTTGTATTTTTAAAACAATAAAATCATGTTTGATAACCTAAATCTAATTTGTAAGATATGATAACTTTTGTTTTAGATGTTGTTGGAAAAATCATCTCGGRTMVACGAGTACGATCTTTCCGAACTCATGGTTATTTGCGATTTGGATGCTTTGAAATATTTCTCCAAGATGGACCGTAAGTGTGTATATTATTAACCAATTAACAAATTATCATAGTAACTAACGTTTTTATTACTCATAATAGGGGAAATATAATAAAGATGAGGTTGTATGATTCTGCACGATTCAGTTTTATGGAGATAACTCGTGCAATCGTAGATAATTCTATAATCTATGCATCTCGAGTTAAACTCATTCATTCGCCTACTCGTGCAAATCAAAGTACGTAAGAAGTTACTTTTATTTTTAAATATTCTATTTTATTAGTTACATATTCTATTTTATTAAAAATTTATATTCAATTATTTTCAGAGAATTTTTTGAGTTCTACGGAGTTAACAACAATCGTGTTCGAACCACACATGCCAGAAGCAGATGTCGTTAGAACATTGATGACATAAACATATATGATTAGTTTTACCATTATCATGTATTATTGGTCTTTTTTTTGTATTTGTGAACTTATATGTATCTTTTATATGTATTATTATGTTGRTATAAGTTTAATCRTTGTTTCTTCATTGTCTGTTAATGATATATTTTGAATTATTAATTAAAACGACTAAGGCAATTATTAGATACACAATAAAGAATGAGTGATATGTTCGATGAAAAAGTGTATCTACTAAACWTTTATTCAAGACAACCAAGGTAAAAGAACAAGGATGACAAGTTATATTTTGTTCAATCTCGAAATTTCATACCCTAACTTTGTTYAWTCTAATTCCAATCTTTACACCTTATTTTACAGATCAAACCATATTTTTCCTATTTTTATCATTTTACAGTTTCCAATGAGGATGGGTGATGATAAAATTGCAAATAATAATGTAACGCAAGTTGATGTAGATATAGCAAAAGGTATATGGAAAACTTACTTTAATTATTAGGGCAAAATGCGCAAAATAGCAACCTACTTTTACAAATTTCTTTATTATAGCATTCTACTTTCAGTTTTTCTTATTACAACAATGTACTTTCAAAATATTTTTTATTAGGGCATTGTACTTTCAAAAATTTACCCGTTATAGCATTGGGTAACCTTTTAAATTAAATTTATCCATTATACCAGGTTTCTTTGCCACCTCATCGTCCACGTAGGCTGTCCACTTGTACGATAATGTTGACATGACATTTTTTATTACAGCATTGTACTTTCAAAATTACTTTATTATAAGATCACCAATTTCTATTACAACATTATACTTTTAATTTTAATATTTTTATCATTTAAACATTGTAAATTTACTGGCAAAATGCGCAAAAAATATAATAACATAAATTAAACATGTTTATAAAAGATCATTATTTCACGAATAAAAATATCCAAAAAAAACCATTCATTCATCGAGTTCATCATAAATTTCATGGCTTACTTTGTAATACCAAAACCTAAACAAGTAGACATCTTTTCAACAAAAAAAATCATCCTATTCACATTCGTCTAACAATGTTATTTAATCAAGTGGAACCGCCTTGTCACAACTACTACCTTCTCCATCTTTCTCAACGGTATTTTTCCATAGGTTGTTCAAAGTTATCCTTTCACTTGGCCTCCTTTTTTTTGGGATGATCTTTGGTCGTGATTCCACTTTAGATGGTTCATGTTCAAATTAGTGAACAAATTAGTATGCAATTGATATATACAATTAGTATGAAACTCGAAGATTTTACATTACCTTTCTAACATCCCTTTGTGATCCCGTTTCGCCTCATGCACCCCCTTTACTACTTTGTCCATGAATATTAGTCCTAGGTCTGCCTGCTGGTCTAACATCTTTCAGTGGTGCATCTTTTTTCTCATTCTTGCATGATCTACTGTTATGACCTACTTCATTACATTTGGTACATGTCATTCTTCTTCTTTGTCTTTCAATCTATCCTGTTGAAGTCAATAATCTTTCCACTGCATCCCTTCTTCTTTTAAGTTTTGGCCTTCCAGGCAATCTTCTTGGCAACGGCGGCAAGGGGCTGATATGATTGGTTTTCGGCCACATTTTGATTCCATTTAAAGGTCTTAAATAATGATTGTATGACTGAATAAACATGCTTTTTCTAAAACAATCTGGAACATAACTTTCTGGAATCTTGTTTACATACAAGATCGCAGCCATAGCATGGGCACATGGCAAACCCGATAGTTGCCACATTCTACAAGTACATGATMTTTTGTCTACATCAACTATGAAAGCATCTAACCCACTTTTAACCTCAAAAAGATCACCCCCACATGGAAGTACATGCCAAAATCTACATGGAAATGAGAAGTTAGTGAATTTATGAACAATGAGTACTAAAGCATATAAGTGACAAAATAATACCTTTGTTGTTCCTTTAAGTGCCCAAATTTTTTCCTAATAGCAGGGCATATATCATCCACCCATTTCCCAGATCTCTCTCTCATTTTATCCATTCTTTCAATCATTATAACTCTAATAGCTTCAATCATTATCACTCTAATAGCATGCATTATAATCTAAACTAAGATAAAATAAGATAAGAAAACTATTTTTATAGTATTACCTTTGGACTGTGGGCCTCTAACACTTGTTTAGCAAACCATTGACAGGCAGAGATTATGCCTTCAGTGGAGCAGCTTTTAAGTAGTGGTGATGTACAGGTATGTAATTAATTTCCTGAGGAAGATGTATCTTATGGTTTGTTTCTATTATGTTCATCCTTCTAAATTTCTTTTGACAACTGACAAGAACAAGCTATAGAGTAAAAAAGCTGCTGGACCATTTTGGTGCTACTGCAAGTGAGGTGTGTGCCATGGAACTTTCATCTATATACCTTGTACCATCAGGCTATAAACAACCACCCTTCTTTTAATATATAGACAATACACAATACACAATAGACAATACACAATACACAATACACAATACACAATAGGCAATAGACAATAGACAATAGACAATAGACATGGATTTAACAATCAGAAGCAGCAACAAAAACTACCTTGAATTGTAAACAGAACAAGTGTCTTTTAAGTTGAGATCTAACTTCTTACTTGAAGGCTAAACAGACGAAGGGAGATCCAAGGTATGATTAGTTCTGTGAACCACAGTCAAGGGGGAAAAACAAGAACCACTCCACTACTATTTTTTTTTGTAATGGATGCCTTAAGAAAGCATTATAGTGGTGGATTAGGTATGATGAGATGATGAGAAACATGTAACTGACAGCTTATCATTATAGGCACCTCT